ATTTCCATGTGACTTGGATTTGAGAATTCGGTGTAAGATCAAAATAACAACCTCTATCTGATAAGTTTGAGTATTCTCCCTACCTGAAACTGGATAATGTATCGATATTCATAAGGAGAAGTGACAAGTTCATCACTTCTGGGATCAAAAGGGTTACTGATTGAAAGACCTTATCAGTCTTTTTTTTCATTACGTGTAGCGCAACAGAAATCACAGTCATACAAATACCGTCCTCGTGACTTTAAAGATTAAACATTCCAGTTTCTTTCTTTTGAGGGGATCGCCTTATCTTTTGTAAAGCGGACAATTACGGGAGATCAACTAGCAAATATTTCAAGAAAACGAATCAGTCACGCTCTTCGGCTAGCAGAAAAATGTGAAAAAAGAAGACTTCCTTGAAGCGAGTGTGAGCATGTCTGTGGAACATGTACCTGGTGCGCTGAAGCAAGTGATATCAAGGAAGAGTTCAAGTAAATATCCAATCGTTGTCTTAGATGGGAATCGTGTTCCCTTTTAGCAAAGTATATTCAAGTAAGCCGGAAGTGGGCGACTCCGAAGTTCTTCTGTTTCGGTTCTAAAATCATCAGTATAAAAGCATTTCACGTTCAAATTCCATTCCTTTGACGTTCAAACTCGAAAAGTACGGCTTTTTCTTTTTAAAAAGATAAATCGATCACCTGTGAGGAGTACATGCTACTTATTTTTGTAAACCTTGAGAAAATTATATCAGCCAGAGGTCAATTGCTTAATTGCTTGTCCAAAAACATCCAAATGTAATTCAAGGAGAAAGTAGAAACGGAACTCAAAGACAAGGAGAACGTAAATCCTGCGTTAGCTCGACTGTTCCGATCGCGCTGATGCTTGTGATACGTGAACCCCGTACACATGAACGATAACCAATCATTATCGTTTGCAAATAAACTGATGTTCCTGTTGTGCAAAGACGAGCCAAGACTGATCTGTGTTATATGCAAAGGAATAAGCTGTCTATGTTCAAAGGCTTTGTTTTCTGGAGCAGTGAAGATCTAACAAGTTATAATCAACAGCAATCAATATAACCCGGCCATGCAGGGTGTTTCCTTGTTGGCTCTTATCGCCGTCAGTTCCTTTATGTACCTATTAACAAATGCCAACGAACTTCAGACGAATGTTTCATCGTCACAATGCAAGGTAAGCACCGCCTCTTAACTTTGGTAACAGAGTCATTTTTCAGTCGTTTTGATAGTTCTACATAGCAATGAACAGCGCCGTATTTCACAGTTAAATTTCACGAGTGAAGTGCATCAGAGTATAGCTCAAATAATGTTTTTCATCTAAAAACGCAATCTAGCACATTGAAAATCGGAAAAGAAGCAAAATGTATCATACGATACATTCTCTCCTTTAGGGCTCTAAAGGAGAGAGAGGAAGTAAAGGCGTAAATGGTATGGGTATCCCTGGGATAACTGGCCCCAGGAGTCCCAAAGGATTCAAAGGTGATAGGGGGATCAGAGGAACAAAAGGAAAGAAAGGAAATGCTGCAAATATTGACCCAAGACAGCTGGCTAATTGGAAACAATGTGCATGGAAATCATTAACGGATAAGGACAGTGGAAAAATAAAGGTGAGTAACCTTTATATTTGCAGATAATTTTTCAATTATTTGAGCTCATTGGATAATAATTAGGGACCAATAAGGTTTACAAAGCTCAAAAAGAAAGGTATCAGTTACCTCCTTGACGACATTGAATTCTTTAGAAACTTCTAAATGAGATTTGAATTTGAGGTCGCTCTATTAGTAGACAAATTTTCAGTGAAGGAGTCTAAATCTTGGAGAAATAATTTGGATATATCAATAAAAGTTGAAATGGTAAATTGGCCACCGTAACGATTACAAAAGCTGACGTTTCGAGCGTTAGCCCTTCGTCGGAGCGAATAGAGGAATTGTGGGTTGTGTGTGCTTTTAAACACGAAGGCACCCTATAAAAGGAGCCTTAGGTCCCACTGGACCATTTGTCAATCAAACATCGTGTGATGTACAGCTCTTAGAGTCAAGTCAGCTTGAGCTTCAGCTATAAACAGAAAATGTTCACAATAGATTATTGATATTTATTATATAGATACTGATGAAATACCAGGATTTCTCCTTTTACTAAAAAATCATATCTTCACCGCGCGCAGTGAAGATACTATTTTATCTTTCACATGTGAGGACATTGGTGTGGCCATGGTTACCAACATAATTACCCAATTGCTGTTTCGAAAATGAATAAAAAAGTTGTCTTTTATGTGGAAATTTCATCAGTATCTATATAATAAACAGAACATTATATGGCTGCTCGGGGATACGAATTTTATCTTCTCGTGCTGAAAGTATCTCTCACGAGTGAGCGCAGCGAACTCGTAAGAGATACTTTCATCACTCGAAGATAAAATTCGTATCCCTGCGCAGCCATGTAATATCCTCTATTTACGCTACTTACTTGCTAAGGGGAAGTGATGTGCATGAATCGTACCGTTTTTATATCTGTGCTCGAGGAAGGAGGGCGGTGGGAAGGGTGAGGTGCACTTAATTCTGAAAAAATAATGAGAAAGTTACTTCAAATCCGCTTAATAGTAACATAATTTTCGTTTTTTGTTCCCGGGTTGGCCGTTAAGAGTTCTGAAAGCTGGTAAAGTTCAGAAATCGCACCTGTTTTTTGTACGAATTTTTTAAAACTATAATGATAAATAAAAGTAAACAAATAAGTAAAACACTTGGACTGTCTTATCAACGAGATTGTACTCAGCAAGGCAGGAACTGAAACCATGGAAGAAGTCTTTGCCTAAATCTTTCGTGCGAATAATTGTCTTAAAGTAGTCCTCCAAAAAGTGTTCGTAGGAAATCGCAAAAATTCCTTTTGGATGCAAATTTTGCGTGTTGGGTGTACACAAATCGAACCCAATTCTCTCGCTCTTAATTGTTCACGGGACTACGTTGTAAAGAAACCTTGGAAGCATTGTTTGTACTATCGCCGCAGTCTTGCAACACTAATTTAGTTCCCCGTTTGGGGAACAAGAAAGCCCAAGCTCGATGCCCTTACTTCCTGATCAGAGCGTTCGACATGAAACATCACACGGCTGAAAAAGCCGTGCCGATGGTTAATTTAAATAATGGAGGAACAGGATCAAAGGCAATCAAACCTGGGCTTGGACTAATTTATGCACGTCGCTGAGAGAACTAGAAAAGCTGTCTGAAATCAAACTTTAAAACAATTTACAAATCAAACAAAGTAAAAAATTCGCACTAGGAATAATTTTCATCGGGTGAAGGTAAATTTCTAAATATTGCAGGAAAAAAGTGAACGCCGTCTTAGAACTACATATGCGCTTTTGAACAAATAAGATAAAAGAAGTATTTCGGATCCCGTGCTTCGATGCTTTCGCTCTATTCTTTATTCAGAAACTGAAAAGCAAATGTCTGACTTATGATTGAGCTGACAGCTACTCTCTACTCCTCTACTGATTCTCTGCCGAAACCACAGCATACACGGAAGTGAATAAGTCCAAGCTGAGTCCAAAAGAAAATTGTTTGCTCTTACACTGGATTTAAGGTAGTTGAGTAAAACCAGGATCTGCGGGATAAGACAATATGCGTAATAAAATTGAATGTCTTTTCCTCGTTAGAAAATCAGGAGTCGCTTATTTGCTCTACACGCAAATATACTTGTATCTACTGGCTGTAACTGATTCAAACTTAAAAAGCCCTATATGGCCATAAAAAAGGATAAAATTATACGCGCGTCAGCTCAGCCCTCAGACAGCGTCAATGTTTGTGAAATATCAATCAAGCACACGTGCTCATCGGCCAATCGTTTAGTTTCAGAGTGATCGATGTTCCCCTTACATTTCTAGATCAGTAGCGGGGATTAACCAAATAAGTGTCACCAACCTTCTCTCACCAACAACACAGTTATCCCAACCAGAGCTTGAGCCTCGCATGGTAACAGAAGAAAAATTGGATTTACCTTTCTTTACAAATTAATTTCAGTATTTACAGTTGAGCGTGTCCAGTATTAGATGATTTTCCTTTTTAACCAGCCAAATCGATGTTATAGGGGCTGGTAATCGTGAGAAATTCGATTCAAATCCAATACACTTTCTTTTATATATATATAAGAGTAGCTGAGATCAACTGGCAAATATTTCAGGTTCTAAAAAAAGGCTAACATTAGTCTTTGATAACAACAGGCTTCATGGATTATTCCGCGTCCGCATTTTTTGTAGTGCCCATGATATTTTTAGTTGGGTTATTTTCTCTCAATGTGTTTCATAATTTTGTTTTCAGGAATGCTCTTATCAAACTGCACCAAAATGAGACAGTGAAGAGAATTGATGTTTTTATCTTGGGAGTGAAATTAAAGAGTTTACTAAATAATAATAAATAATAAACGAATAATAAACTCGAAACTCCTGCTCTCTCTCCTTTTTCTTAGTGTGCAACATAAATGTTTAAACGTAAACATTCCAGTTTCTGCCTTGGAAGAGGATCGGCTTAGGTTCCGTTATAANTTTCCACGTCTCGAAGGTGTTCTCGGAATCGGTCACCTAGTCTTCTGCCTGTTTCGCCGATGTATATCTTTTTGCAATAAGTGCAAGTTATGCAATAGATTACATTGGCGGAGGTGCACGTGAAGTGATCGGTGATCTTAATGGATCGTTTGGGTCCCGATATTTTATCAGTGTTGTGAATGAAAGGACACGTTTTGCATCGTGCACGATTGCACGATGCAAATCTTAGAGAAGCTGATTTCATTGAGAAGTGTATCATTTGCCTCCTAAGAGAAGGCATAAGTAGCATCTCTTCATAGTGATCGTTAATCAGCTTGAACCAAACTTTTCCAGCAAACGTAACTCACATGCGAATAAACAACCGCGAAACTCTTTGATTTGTTACACTGATTGTAACGTCAGCCAGAGAGGCTGAGAATTTTCCCGCGTGCCACATTGGTTAATATTAGTCTTAGTTTATATAGCAAGAAGGAGAATGTTCTGTTTAAGTGTGTGTGTGTGTGTGTGGGGTACAACTTTGAATTTAGCTCGAGCTTTTACTTTTCGATTAGAAACTAGTACAAAGTTGTTTCTTCGTTCTTTCATACTTTTGTCCAAATGTCATATACTTTAACCCAGACTACTTTTCAGACCCAGACTACCAGCTCCAACGAAGGGCTAACGCTCGAAACGTCAGCTTTTGTAATCGTTACGGTGGCCAATTTACCATTTCAACTTTGTTGATATATCCAAATCACTTTTCAAGTAATTTGAACCTAACTAAAAATGCTCTTTTTCCTGTTTGTAAATTTTTACCAGGAATGCTCTTTCAACAAACTGTATGACAATACGGCCCTTAAAGTCTCATTCCAAGGAAACATTGATATATTCTCTGATCAAAAGTGCAACAGATGGTATTTTATGTTCAATGGTAATGAATGTAACGGTCCTTTGCCGATTGATTTGGTTCTTTACACCGACTGGAGTGGTGGAATTAACAACCTCCATCGTCACGGTTCCCTTGAAGGATTCTGCGAGAATCTCACTCGGGGCTCGGTTCGGATTGAACTCTGGGTAGGCAAGTGCAATTCGTACACACTGGGTGACGCTTACACAGGATAGAATTCAGTGTCCCGGATCATGATTGAAGAAGTACCGCCATCCCAGTAGTCCTGTTATCAAAGCTGAATAGTCAATGAGCTCATGCAGGGAGGATGTTAGTACATAAATTTCAGAGTCAATCAAAATTAAACCTAAGTTAAAGACTAAATCTTTTTAAAAATAAAGCCGAGGGGAAAGTTAAATTACCTATAATCGCGATGGAAAGATATGTAGGGAATCAAACTTGATTTTTGGCAATCAATGTCTCATACTATTAATAAAATATCAAAAAGAAAGACGCGCTTGAGTACTCTCTTTAATATGCTCTATTTACGCTGTTTACTTAATATGGGGAGGTGATCATGATCTGCATGAATCCTGTACATAGTTTTTCTATCTACGCTCAGGTAAGGAGGGGGAGTGGGGTGAGGTGCACTTAAATCTGTTTAAATATGAAAAAGGGAAAAAAACTGACAAAGCTACTTCAAATCCCGTTAAACGATACAAAATGATAATTTCGTTTTACGTGGCCGACAAAAAAACCGATCGCAGGAGTTTAACCGCTATAACTTTTAGAGATGAACATTTTGAACACATGTTAGTAGATTTCTTCGTTATAGTTCATTAGATTAATTATTTCGTTGAGGTGTGGGAATGCAGCGGACCTTTGCCAGTTGATTCAGTCCTTTACACTTTTTACCCTGGCTCAATGACCAAGATCTATCGTCCTCATTTCTTTGAAGGTTTCTGTGAGAATCTCCCACGAGGCACGGTTCGCGTTGAACTTTTGGGTAGGCAAATGCTCTGGTTCGACACTGGGTAACGCTTACACAGGATGGAATTCAGTGTCCCGGATCATGATTGAAGAAGTACCACCATCTAAGTAGTTCTGTTATCATCAGAACTGAATAGACAACGGTGTTAGGGAAAACATGTTTGTAATGGAAGTTAAAAGGGAAGTAAAACTAAACTTAAATGTAATAGAAAATTATG